GGGGGGGGGTCAATACAATTAAAAAGACCTATGTGTATTCGATCGATAGAGGATTCATCTCTTAGTTTACCATAGGAGGGACTTATGACAAATTTGGAACTTCGTCAGATGGATGTAGCAGTTTAGGGCATACTCAAAGACTGTGACTTGTTTACTCATTTTTCTGGACGTAATCGCGGTGACGTACATCCAGGTCTGGCCGTAAATGCGGTCAGATACATTTTAGACAGTGCTAACTTCTTCCCCACCAATACAACGTACGATTTGAGGTATATCTCTTTCAGTCCAAATACAGCAATAATGAGCAAATGTTTCCACTTTGATCTTGTTAAATGTCCACCGTACGTTTCCACTTTGATCTTGTTAAATGTCCACCGTACGTTGTATTCGAGTGAAGGTAGTGTGAGTACGTCCTTATTAGGGTACAGTTTTGTTTTTTTGTGGGATGATTTCAGCTGAATGAAAGAGGAAGAGATCGAGAGCGGAGGGTGATCCGTCGTCCATCGGGCCACATTAAAAAAGAGAGAGAGAGAGAGAGAGGAGGGTGAGAAAACAAAAAGATTAAGACTTCGAATCGTTTAAATAATAATATGGACAACATGGTCGTATTTTGTAGACAGATGCATTCATGAGTCTTGCTAAATATATCGAGTAATCACAATAAGCGCATACTCAAACTAGAACGTTCTGGACAACCTGGTCGTATTTTGCAGACAGATGCATTCATGGTCGTATTTTGCAGACAGATGCATTCGTGGTCGTATTTTGCAGACAGATGCATTCGTGGTCGTATTTTGCCGACAGATGCATTCATGGTCATATTTTGCGGACAGATGCATTCATGGTCGTATTTTTGCAGACAGATGCATTCATGGTCGTATTTTGCAGACAGATGCATTCAGGAAAGTCCTAGTGCGACTATGCCATAAGAAACAGAGAGAAAAGGCAACTTCACGTGTCAGAATAAAGAGTTCCGTCTTCCCCCGAATAGAACGCGCGCTCACTATCGCTGTATGTAGACTGAAAGTTGCCCCAAATACAGCTATAATGACCGTGAGGTTCTTTTTGAGGGAAGCCGCTATGGCGATGATTACGAAGCAGAGGATGCCGATGATGGGCTCATGAAGCCAATGAGAGATAGCCACGTGGCGCACTCAGGCCCCGCCCGCTCCCCACCCCTTCTACCATAAGCAGCAAAAGACGGCGAAGCGGGTGAGGAGGAAGGAGGAGGAAGAGGAGGAGGAGAGGAGGGAGAGGAGGGAGAGGAGGAGGAGGAGAGAAGGAAGGAGGAGGAAGAGGAGGAGGAGGAGAGGAGGGAGAGGAGGAGGAGGAGGAGAGAAGGAGGAAGAGGAGGACGAGAGAAGGAGGAAGAGGAGGAAGAAGGAGGAGGAAGAGGAGGAGGAAGGAAGGAGGAGGAAGAGGAGGAGGAAAGAGGAGGAGGAAGGAGGAGATGGACGAGGAGGAGAACGAGGAGGAGGAGGGAGCCATACATGGGCCTCACAACACCCATAGGCTTTGCTATTGCGAAGGACTGCGAGAAGGACGAAGAAACGGAAAGAAAGAAGTAGACGAAGACGAAGAAGAAGAAGAAGAGTGAATAGTGAAATCAGCGGCCATAGACTGCTTCTCGCACATGCTTCAACATATACCTAAACATTTCATCTCCGCATGCACAGTGTTCTCAGTAGAAACTTCATCGCGAATCCCCCCGACGCGTTTTGTTGGGTCCAGGCTGCGCTCCTGGCACTCCTCAGGGGGCTTCTCGACCATCTGAGAAGTAAGAAGAAGAACAACAAATGAGTAATGGCCTGCATGGACACAGAGAACGAAGAAGGAAAAACAGAAAAGAAGAAAGGAGGAGGAAGAGGAGAAGAAGTAGACATCGATCCACGGTCACCAACAAGAAGAAGAAGAAGAAGAAGAAGAAGAAGAAGACATAGACATCGTACAG